ATATCTTTTATCGGACTAACTGTATAGTTGGGAGGGTCATAAACAAGCTTTTGGGTACCACTGTAGCCTTCCTCAGAAAGCTTGTCTATGTTCCTTCCAACTATATGGTGAATCCAGTAAGAGATATCACCCACAGAAATCCTTGCTTGTCGCATTTCTAGAACCTAGGCATTTTGTACTCATCTCAGTCAGTTAGAAAGGACTTGGATAGAAGGCTCTGCCTTACTATATTCTGTGCAGCAAGTTACAAAATGCATATTTTCTCACATACCACATGCCCCCTAATTAGACATAAACCTTGTTTTTGGGAAAGCAGAATGAAGGGAAAATGCTTTTTTCTAGTGATGGCTGCATAAAGGAGGCAGAACCTAATCTTCAATGGACTTACCTTCCTTTTCCTGCCTACCAAAAGCTGAAACCCTAGCTGCTGCTGCAGATTTGTTTCCATGGGTAGATCCATGATATTGAAAAGAGCTAAGGAGTCTCCAGAGCTCTAAAATAGGAGAAGAGGGACCAGAAGCAGCTAGCAGGCAGTAAAAATTACCCAAAGAAAGTTTAGCTTGATTAGTGGAACATCACAGCCATAAAAAGGAGAGAAAATTGGTAACAACTGTGGCATGAAGAGCAATGAGCCATTAAGCCAACTGACTCCCTCAGGTGCCTGAATAGAAATGCCACTGCTTCTGCCTGGTGGAGCAGGAATCAAAGCAGGGTTCTTCTATTCCAGGCAGAAAAATCATCTTCCTGCTTCAGACACACCCCAGGTTAAGACAGTGGGGGCTAATTTTTTTAGGAAAAGGTGTGTATGGCATGTAAATATAGTACATGGCTAATTCACAAAAAAGAGAGAGAGAGATCAAGGTAGCTTACAAGTAGTGGGATGAAAGTGACTTATTAGTTCATGGCACACACAGGGCTCATCCAGACAAGCACGGTTGTACGTTATGTGGCACTGCAAACATGTTTGCAGTGCCATATACCGCACAGTCTAGAGTTCTCCACGCTGCAAGGGCACACTGCCCAAGTGTGTGCTGCTCCATTTTTTTTCCCATGTTTTTTTTTTGACCCCTGCATATCCTAACAATAATAATATAATAATAATAATATCCTGAGAAAGTCCTAATAGGCTTTCAAATTCTAGTGTTGTTCAATATCTATATATTTGGATGCCCCCGTTGGGCTTCATATAGATGATCGCTGATGGCCTTTGAGAATTCAACCGACCCCGTCTGCGGGGTGTGTCCCCGGAATCTATGTGTCAGGTTGCGCTGCACCCTGAGGGGAGCCCTGACAGTCACCTGCCATGGTTTGATTCCCTGTGTTCCCATAGTGGGGGTTCCTCCTGAAGTTCCTCGCTATTCTTGGTATCACCTGTCGGAGGCGTTCTTGGGGCTCCATCTCCCCTACACCCCAGCCAAGCACCAACCTTCCGGGCCGCTGGATGGTGGATCTTCAGCCTGCTCCTCAGCTCGCCTATTCCTGACGACTGCAGGGCGTACAATTATCTCTGCCCTCGCACTCGCCCCTCCTCTGAGGCTCTTGGCCAATCTGGCCTCAATTTTCTCCATGGCCTGGACCCACAGAGGGTCTTTCCTGGGTCGCCCTCCATGCACCCTCCAAGATAGAGTAGGTCAGAGGAAAAAAAAGAAGAAGAAGAAGGAATAAAAAGATAACGAAAGGGTCTCTCACAGGTCCACCAACTTAGACCTTCTCTGGTCCTTCAACATCATCCCTCTTTTCCTTGGCTGTCCTGCCAATCAAGGTGGTGGGCCCCACCAGCATGGGGAAAGCCCCTCTCAAGGGATCTCTGTCTTGCCCCTACCAGGGCTGTCAACCTCCCTGGGATATTGGCTGTGGAGCACTCTTACTCTTCAGCATCCCTGCTGCCTCTCCCAGCAATAAAAGCAGCTGATAAACTGTGCCAGTGGCCCTCCTCAGCATGGCTCACTCTCCCCTGTGGGAGGTAAGTATTTCTTCCTTTCAGGGCTCTTTCCCCCTTTCCTTGGGCAAGTCGCCCCTGCCTTGGGTCCCACTGTGGGAGGCCGTTCCAGTGCCTCCATTTTTATTCCCCTGGGACACTGGGAAAAAAATTACTTTTGCCTGGACCACAGTTTCAAGCTAGAAATAACCAGCTCAGAGACTGCCCCTTTTAAAACATTAACTATTTTTTCACATTTTCTATGCTGATCTTTGTTACTTTTAATTTGTTTAATGTTTGACTAATGAGAAAGAACTAAACATATAGAGAATGTTAAAGAACAGAAACTCATAACATGAAGCTTGATCCTGCAAAACATTTGGGTAATCATTAGACTAGCTTCAATGTTCAAGACTGGATAAATTCCCATTAACATTGCTTGCTCTGAAGCTATTATGGAATCTTGTCATGATAATTGCTCTTATTAATGAATGACATATGTGGCACCATATATTAAGTAAATAACTGAATATATTACTAAGCAATGGGAGGATTTTAAATGCTTAAAAACAGTATTTTAAAAAGGGTGCAGAAAACTGTTTATACTATTTCCTTTACTCTTTTCCTTTATTCTCTACTAAGAACTGTGTTGCTAGGGAAATCAATAGCTCTGGTTTACTACCAAATAGATATATTTTTAAAGATTTTATTTTAAATGTAATGATTTGTCCATGCACTAATAGAAAAATATCCTTTAGTAAGATAATGGTCTGCACTTTGTGTGGCTGAAGCACTCAGTCTTTCCTATGTGATATACACATCGCCTCCACCCCACCCCACTACAAGTAACACTCTCTTGTATATAATTGCAATGACATTTAAAAGAGGGGATAATCAGCATTTCAGGTGTGAAAGTTCTGTATGCATGATAGATTTAAATTAGAAGCTTTGCTTTCCGTTTCAATCCAAATTTAAATATCTGTTTGGTTCCAGAGACATCAAATATAGTTAAAGTATTAAAGCAAACAAGTTCCATGTATGAAGGCAACCCACTTTTACCAATGGAATCTAATAAGATCCTTGTAAATAGCTAGGGTTTTAAGACAAATGTCTTTATAAATATTATTTTCACAGGAAGACTAGTTATATCAGGGGCAGGCAACTATTTTGGCTAGAGAGCCACTTAATGAGTTTTGGTGTCCTCTTGAAGGACAAGTCTCTTTCTCTCTTTCCTCCTCCCTCCTTCCTTCCGCCCTGCCCAGAGCTGTAGCATGCCCTAATGCCCAGCCATGACCCAGAACCTCCTGGCCCCATCCACAGCTTATGTCACCACCTACCCGGCATGGCAGAAGCAGCCTCAGGTGGGCACCGGCATCAACTGTGTACATCACATGTCCAGCATGTTCAGATGAGGATCAGGGTGTCCACCCTGGTCCACAGCTGATGCCTCCCCATCAGCACTGAGTGGAAGCAGTCCCACCCACCTAGCACAGTGGAAACTGTCGCGCCTGCCTGCCCGGCACCATGTGGTGGGATAAATACATTCAGTTGTTAGGTCAGATCTGGCCTGTGGGCCATGTTTTGCCCACCCGAGTTATGTTAACATTGCCTGAATGTGAGACAGGCTGCTAAAAATATATTTTTTAAAATAGCTACCTGCCATGTAATTGAGGGGCCACCAACCACCGTATGCAAATAATCCTTGGAAAAAAGCTTCTGCAATCTATGATGCATCAGGAACTTCTGAACTAAAAGCATACTTAAACCTTGCCAAATTCTCCTTTCTTCCTCTAACCAGCAGGATAATGCCATCTATGGCAATTACAGATAAAGCCACCATCTTCAACAGTGTGAAAACAGCCATTTTGATGTTGCATCCATTCAGAATCCCCAGACACCAAAGAACAGCCAAAGCCAAGCATTTTTTAGCAGCTCTGGTCCAGGACAGGCACCAAAGGTTGAGTGGCATATTCTGCAAAAAAACAAGGCTTGGGCAGCATTTGATGCTGGCTTTGTAAACATCGCTGTCCAGATAAAGATGAAAGCAGGTGGAGATCCAAGTGCTATCTTTATGTGACTGTATTCTCCTCCAGAGAACGGTAGTGCAGTCCCCAGCTCTGCGTAACAGAGGGAACCCATCAGAGATATTACTCCACTGGCAGTCCAGATGCATAGCGCAACACCCACGTTAAGTAAAGAATACTGTAGCACTCCTGTAGCAGACACAAAGATTCCTGCACCAACTATGGTGCCAATTATAAAACTCACCCCATCAAAATATCCTATTGTCCTTTTGAGTTGCATCCCGTTGTTTTCATTTCTTTTCTCTTCTTTGAGATGGTCACAACTTCCTTTTCCCATTTTCTCAGTCTTTTCGCAGTTAAGATCTATGACTGTAGAGGTTTGAGAATGCTCTTTTGCCTCACTTGTTTTCATTAGGAAATAGTCATGATCTTACTTGCCAGTGAAAGGCTATCTTGGTGAATCTTGGCTTAGTCATTCAAAGGAAAAAGCTTATTTTGTTTTTTTGATGCTTTAATCATACGATGATTAACCAAGCCCTATGAGAAATGCTGGCAGCTCTTCATGTAGCATATAGCTATTCAAGTATGTAAGGGGGCTTCCCATGCCACCCAGAGTCATGTCACCTCCCGGCTGGAACAGCAGTATCTCATTGTAATAGATCACCTGCCATGCCTTCGATGTTATGGAAGATATGCCTAGACACTACTGAGAGGCAACTGAGAATGGTTATGGACTCAGAATGTCTGCAGCTCTTCACAGGGCTCCACCATCTCCATACCCTGTTCTCACCACATCTGATATTCCTGGCACTGTTGATTGGCTCTAAGGTTTGTTACTATCGTTACTTGAAGGATCTTGACTAAGGTCCTTGCCTAAGTGGCTGCTTGCCCCGTTCTTCCCTGCATGGATCCCAAGACAGCTACCTCTTTCTCTAGTTCTCCCCTCATCACCCTCTTGTGACTGGGGTCCTCTCTCTCTTTTCTTCTTCCTCTTTTGGGAGAGTAAGGTCACCTTCACCTTCCTCTTCTTTTAGGTCCCCGGAAGCGGTTCCCTTCACGCCCCGGAATCAGACTCACCAGTTGCTCAAGCTTCTTTGTTGGTTCCCATTCTCACCTGGACCTCATCTGGTAAGTAGCAGGGTCAGAGCTTACCCTTTGGTCTTCTACTCATTTGCCTTCACCTGCTTGATCTCTCCTCTTCTCTCCCTCTCTCCTCTGCTTTCTTTCTTCTTCTGCCTTTCTCAGGATGCTCCCTCGGCATCCCTTAAATCTCCCTCTCTTCAGCTGTGTCCCCTGTGGCAGTTCCCTATTGGCTGCCTGCCTGACCCAGCTGTTCCTTCTTTGCTCACTGGTGTAGTAGTTCTTTCTTTCTCTTTGTTCTTTTCCCACACTGGTCCTTTCCCTCCACGCTTGGATTCCAGTGGCTGGGTCTGCCACAGCAGCCTTTGATCTGCTGTGGCCCCAGCCGGCTTCTCCACTTGTCCGGATCGCGTTGGGGTTTGCCATGGCTCCTCCAACTCCAGGAGGTAAGTTTCCCTCCTTTAGCCCTTCCTGATTCTTTTTATGGCAGGGTGCTTCAGGCACCCGGTCACAACATAATATACTTGAGTTAACTGTGTAGTCATGGCAGCCAATATCTCAGTGCTGGCAAGCTGTATTAGTACTTCCTAGGATCCCAGGCAGGAACCAACTGTTATTGGTACCCAACAGAAAAGCTACCTAACAGAAAGCTAGCTGAGGAGGACTGCATAAGCTGCAGTCATTCTCTATGTGACTACAGTGTAGACATATCCATAGAGAAGTAAACTAAGTTATTGTCTCATGCGTGAAGTATATATGAAATAATATGAAACTCTATTAAATGATGTAATTAAGTTGGCCTGTGCAGCTTTAACCCAACTCCCTTCTGCATATGGATTATGACATTATTGTTAATTGCATGATCACACACTATTATGTCTACATCTAGTGCACAGTTGGACAGTCCCCAGTACTGACTTAAGACACAGCTGTCCCAGCCGCCTGCGGAAGGTTCGGGATTGAGAGTATGGTCGGAGGTAGAAAGGTAAGAAAGGTTTATTGACTTAACAAAAGCACAACTACGCGTAGCAACAAGACAAACAATGACAGACAAGAAAAATTCACGTCAGTAACTTTTCAGCAGTCCCCTCCGATGCCTGATGTATGACAAGTTTCTCTTTCCACAAAGCTCAGTGAAGTCAGGCATCCCCAATCAGCGCTGTCCGAAAGGTACTGGGAAGAATCCTGATATTCAGTCCTTGGGCTCCTCAAGATCCACGGGCCCGCTGACCCAGGTCAACAGCTAATTAATCCCTTCACAGAGCTGTATCTTCCTTCTGAATGATTTCCAGATGTTTCAGCCAATTTATAACTTCTGAACTGCGCTGATAACTTACAGCCACTCAGATTCTTTTTACTTCAACTGTCCTTAGACTGACCAATAGCAGTATAAGCCTTGCATTCTTTTAATAAGGTTAATTTTAACTATGACACAGGGTATTACTACTTCAAGGCTTTGCTAAATTTACTAGGCCTTACTTTATGCAAGGCCTTACTACATCTTAAACTTTAAATAGGCTCTTAGCAACAATATATAACTTAATATTTAAACAGATACAGAAAAACACTTGGTCTAATCTTCATAGAGCCTTCAGCAAGCACCTTTATCACACAGACAATTTTCAGCTGTCACACACAGCAACTTTGATTCTGACATTTCCTAACCTTTGACTGCTTGACTTTGCAGCCTCCTTTTTCTTTTCATCATCATTGGCAATCCCTTGAGGTTGAGGGTGATTGTCCTCCATGATTGTCTTATGTCTGAAGATGGCTGATGAGGCCTAGCCAAAATTGAAAGACTCTGTTGCAGCTGAGGCACATGTTTCCATGTGAGGTGAATGACTACAGGTTGTTTATTTGGTCCATGACACACTGTTTCTGCTGTTCCTGCTTTTCCATCTCCTGTTGTTATCATAATGTTTCAAAGTACTAAGATCCTTGCAGCAGACTCTTCCTCCATTTGGGGTAGTCCTTGGTGACAACCTCCCATGAGTTGATGTCAATGTTGCGTATTTTTAAGTTGGCCTTGAGGACATCCTTGAAACGCTTTCTCTGCTGTCCTGTTGAGCACATGCCTTGACTGAGCTGGGAAAATAAAACTTGCTTTGGGAATCTGAAGTTGGACATCCAGATGATGTGGGCAGCCCAGCAAAGTTGATGTTGGATAATCATTGCCTTCATGCTTCTGGTGTTTTCTTGCAAGAGGACACTAACTTTGGTACATCTGTCTTCTCAATGTATTTTAAGGATCATCTGCAGGCAGTGTTTATGGTACTTCTTCTGTGTGTTGTCCACATTTCAGTGCTGTACAATAAGCTGGGGATCATGACTGCTTGATAAACCGTGAGCTTGGTTTTGGATCTAATGTTGAAATCTTTGAACACCCATTTCCTCAGATATCCAAAGGCCGCACTTGGACATTTGAGGCGATATTGGATTTCTTCGTCACCAGCCTTCTGTGAGAGATGGCTTCTGAGGCATGCAGAATATTCAACATTCTCCAGAGTCTCACCATGAATCTGAATTACCAAAGCTGGGGACTGCTTATTAAGAGCTTGTTGATGGAGGACCTTGGTCTTCTGAATGTTAAGCATCAGTCTCATTTTCTTGTATGCCTTAGTAAAGGTGTCGACAATTACCTGAAGGTCTGCTTCTGAGAAAGCACACACTACAGCATCATCAGCATACTGGAGCCCAATGATTGAGGTCAGGGTGGTCTTGGTTTTGGCTCAGAGTTGGCTGAGATTAAACATATTACCATCTATTCAGTGGTTTAGCTCCACTCTGACTGGAGCTAGTTAGTGGTCAGATGTAGCATCACAGTAATGAATACTGAGACGAGTCTTGGAGATGCAACCTTGCTTAACTCCCATCTTAACCTCAAAGGTATCTGTGATAAACCTGTTATTGAGAACCACCACTAGCATACCATTATGGAGCAAGTGAAGAATGGTGATGAATTTTGGTGGGCATCCATACTTCAGAAGGATCCTCTACAGCACTTCTCAGTTGACAGTCTAAGGCTTTCATGAGGTCAAAGGAAGCCATGTAGACTGATTTATGTTGTTTCTGACATTTTTCCTGAAGATGCCAAGCAGCAAAGATCATGTCAGTTGTGCCTCTTGATGCCCTAAACCCACGGTGAGATTCTGGGAGGAAGTATTCAGCAAGTGGAAGGAGATAGTTCAGGACAGTTCTTGCAGTGATCTTTCCTGTGGTGAACAGCAAGGAGATCCTTCTGTAATTTCCACTCTCAGACTTGCATCCTTTCTTGAAGATTGCCATGATCATGGCATTGTCTGAAATTTCCTCATCATTCTAGATTCTTAAGATGAGGGCATGGAGCTGTAATGTGAGCTCCTCACCAGGCTGCTTGAAGATTTTGGTAAGGATTCCAGTACCTTCAGGTGCTTTGTCATTCTTCATCTGCTTGATGGCTTTCCTTAGCTCATCAAGGAGGGATTCCAAGATTGTCTCTGACTTGGTGTACAGGATGAAATTGGGAACACTCTTGTCAACAACAGAGTCGCAATTGAGAAGGTCTTCAAAATGTTCCTTACAATGGGGGTTGATGACTCCCCTTTCCATGATCAGATCTCCTCCATCTTCAGGTAGGTCTCAAAAGGTTGGTCCCTGAGTGGCTTTGGTAAGCACTGAAGAAACCATGTATATCATGGATTTCAGTGAGATGTTGCATCTCCTTTGCTTTGTCTTTCCACCTTTTGTTCTTCATATCTCAAGTCCTCCTTTGGACCTTTGCCTTGGCTTGTTGGTGACATAATTTCTTTTGCTTGGAGTTTATGTCATTCTGCCAAGCACAAAAGGCCTTGAGCTTGTGGCTGATCAACTCTTGGATCTCCTGGTCTTTTTCATCAAACCAATTGTGATGTTTCCTGTTAAAGAATCCAAGAGTCTCTTTGCAAATGCTGATGACAGCGGATTTATGGGCACTCCAAGCGCTGCCAACATTTTCCCATTGTTGTTCATTGCAATTCTCCATTTTTTTGTTGAGGCACTGATGGAAGAAGTCTCACTTGATTGGGGCCTTGAGTTCTTCAACATTGATCTTCCATCAGCATTGCTTTTGCTGCAGCTATCATTTAGGAGCCAGTTGAAATAACATAACCGAGTGGATGAGTCAGTGACTGGTCCAACAATCATCAGCTCCTAACATAGCTTGGGTGATATGGATATCTTTGTTATCCTGAGCATAAACAATGACATAGTCAATCAAGTGCCAGTGCTTGGTTTGCGGGTATTGTGGTGATGTTTTGTGCCTGTTTTTCTAGTGGACTAGGGTGTTGGTGATGGTGAGTCCACGTGCTTTGCATTTGGTCTAGAGGAGGATCCTGTCGGAATAGATCTTTCCCACTCCTTCCTTACCAATGCTTTCATTCCAGAAGTTCAAGTCCCTTCCAACTCTGGCATTGAAATCTCAAAGAATGAGTCTGTCTCTTTCTAGGATGCCAGGAAGGACTTGGTCAAGGCTGACATATAATTCCTCCTTGGTATTGTCGATGGCATCAAGAGTCAAGGCATACATGCTGATGACAGTGGTGTATTGGCTCCCTGATAGCTTAACATGGAGAGTCATGAGACATTCATTAATTCCGATAGGCCAGGGCACTCACTGAGTTGGTTTATGAGCTCATTCTTGATGGCAAAATCAGCTCCATAAAGCCATTGTTCTCCTTCCTGATTGCCCTTCCAGAAAAGGGCATAGCTGCCTCCTTGTTCTTTGAGCTGCCCATCTCCTGCTCGCTGGGTTTCGCTCAGTGCAGTAATGTCAATATTGTGTCACATGAGTTCTACAGCTGCAATTGTAGTACAGCACTCTAGGCATTCACTATTAGAATTGTCCACAAAGGTCCTAATTTTCCAGGTCCCAAAATTGAATGTGTCTCTTCACTGATTTTGACTGCAGTAAAGGTAATCCCACTGGACGCAATTATACAGTCAGAAAAAAGGTAGTCACTATGTTTACGGCACCATTTTTAGCTCCCTCCCCACGTGGTGTAAGCAAAGTGGATCCTAAAGAGGGCTGTTCAGTCAGTTACAGTTGATTACCTCATCCAAATGCTAGATAACGTCATCTAACTGCCACTTTCATGCCAGCCAGTTCATAATTAGGAGTTTCTAGACATCACAACCCTGCTGCTGCCATCACTAGCTGGTTGCAAAAATACAGATACAGAAACAATGTGCTGGAAAATCCATTTCCATGGCAGATGCCTGGGCCTGATTTCTTTTATTGCAGAGAAGCTACTGCACACCAGCTTCTGTAGTAGGAAGCCCCTTTTTCTGCCTGCCCCACAGTGTAACAAGAAGCCTCCCCTTCTATCATATAGTCCCCTCTGACATAGATAGCAAAGGCCTCTTGACTGCATCGCTTTCCCCTCTTTGGATATGTCTCTTCTCTTCTACCTTTTCTTCCTTTGTCCTTTCTTCTTTCCCTTTCTCACTATAAGATATAGAATTATTTGGGTATTTTTGGTATGAGGAATTGTGTTTTATGAGATTACATAGGTGCTCTTATAGGTATAATATGGCATTTTACATTTTTTGTGCATTTTGTATTTCCCCTTATTGTATTTTGGTATTTTTATCTATTTGTGCGCCATGGCATTTCCACCTCTTGTATTTTATACTTTGTACTCTTGTATTTTACACTCTTTACCTTGCAACTGAATACACTCTATTTTTAAAAGTAAGTTATACCCTGTAACAATGCACCCACAGATGTGACCCCTGGGGTTGACAGCTGCTATCCAGTAGCCACCAAGGGGGACGTTCCACAAGGGCTGGCCGAAAACTGGGGAGTCACCAAAGTCTGCCAAGGACAGATAAAAGGCAGCAAAGAGTGAGCCTCAGGGGCACTCTCTTGATCTTCAACTTGACCACCACCCGATCTGTCCAGCCAGAAGGACCAGGCAGCAACCCCCTTCTGGAAGATAACACTACGTTGGAAGAAGCCTCAACCAGCCATCAACGGCAGACTACAATGCTTTTGAGTTAGGTATACCTGACACCAGTACTTCACAAATATTTGTAGCTAGCTATTGTGTGTGTGTGTATGTGTGTGTGTTTAAGGGGATTGACCCCAAGGTTTATGATTTGATTTCATTGCAATATTTCAACCTGTCTAATAAATTAGAATTTTAAGGATCCTAACTTGGTCATTTGTAGCCAACACTTCCACATGGTTCTTGACAGAATGGGACCTTGATCCAATGGCAAGGAGGCCAAGACAATTGGAGATCTCATTCTGCTGCAGCTTTTGTTCACCTTTGCAGCCATTGAGATTCTAGCACCTTCTTCTGCCTGCTTCACCATTGAGGACTTGTAGATCCATAGCTGAGGACTGGGCAGGCTTATAATGGTGACCTGTACTCGCCACGTCACAGCACTGTCAAAGGATATATGTGGCTTTTCAGGAGAGAGAAATGACATTGCCCATCTGCTGTCCCCACCACATCCTGATGGTGCTGCAACTGCTTGGTCCATAACTGCTTATTCATCAGAGTTACCACTGCTTAGTTCGAAGCTAACCTTCCCTGAAGGTTGTTTCTCTATCCACCAGCTGTAGATGCACTAGGTAGCAGTACAGCTTTGCTGCCAGAATTTTCTTTTAATACAATTTGTATATATGTTTGTACGTGCACATACAATTCCCTATGCCCATGGTTCTCAACTAGGGTGTTCTGAGATCTTTTTAAGGGTATTACCCAATATTAGCACTATTAGATATAGAAACACCTACATGTGATACACAAAATAAACCCAGAGGGTGCATCATAACAAGCACACATGTGCAGGGGCACGCATTTCCTGCAGGACAAGTAGCAGCACATATTTGTGTTGCTGCTATTTGTTGCTTGGCATGACGCTGCATGCATGATCCAGCACGCAGCGAAGTGGCCTGGGTTGGGAGAGGAGGCTGGGTTGTGTGGGCCCCAGCAGGCTTACCTGGGTTCCGGGGGGCCTCTCAGGACAGAAGTGGCACTGAGCCAGCTACTCGGACCCTGGTCAGCAGCCAGAGTGTGGTTCTGTTGGCATTTTTCCTCATCAGATATTAAGACCCAGCTAGACAAAGTCTTGGCTGGAATGATATAGTTGAGGATGGCCCTGCTTTGAGCAGGGGGTTGGACTAGATGACCTGCTGAGTTCCCTTCCAACCTTAATTTTCTCTGATTCTATGATTCCTGTTGGACAGCAAGGATATAAAGAGGTGTGTATGTTCCAGAATGGGCTGCTTGCAGTCTAGCATATGAAAATGGCACTGGTGCAATTGTCAGCCAAATAAAAAGCCAGTTAGCAAATGCCTACCGTTCCCCTCCCTCCCTTCCCCCCTGCCAGACTTGCTAAGCTCTGATTAACTGGAAATTCACCTTTAACTAAAGCTCTCCATACGCCTCATAATGCAATGAGCCAGAGCTTTTAAAGAGCAGATCTAGACCCCGGCATGAGTCCTTGCCTTCAAGAACAGCCATGCACAAATGAGACAGCTCTTATTTCCAGGGGGTGTGGAAGTCGGCCAGCAGCCTTTCCAGACAAGAGGCCACAGCTAGGGAGATGTATGACTATTTGACAGATTAGTACAGTCTCTCTTTACATACAGGTGCATCCATTGGTGCAAGTGCATCAGTCTTTCAGTTTATAGCCTCAAGATAGTAAAAACTTATGCGATTGCCCAAAATCCAGGTTTGTGCAAGCATGAGCCCCCGGTATTGTCCGCTCTGCTGATTTTGGCTGGAATCTCTCAGCAGTTGAGGTTTTCCTTAAACCAGCAGTCCCCAAACTGTAGGTTGAGACCCCAAATGAGGTCTCAACATTGGCAGATGGGGTCACAGGGGTGGGAGGCTGTGGGTTGTGAGTGAGGAACTACGTTGAGGAAATGGGGCTATTTAAATAGGGTCATGCTGAGGACAAGTTTGGGAAGCACTGCCTTAAAGCCTCAGCTCTTGGGTTCACATTATGGCGCAAGACTCGGCTTCTATCGCCATCCTGCCAAAGGCTGCAACACGCAGCTCCTTTAAAATAACCCCAGAAAAAGCAGAAACAAATGGGGGAGGGGAGAGAATATGGTCTCATACGGATTTTATCCATCTCGTGTATATTTTCTGATACACCTGAGCATCGGGGTTCAGCACTCAGCAGCTCTGAGGTGTTAGCGCCCCTGACTGGGATGAAAGCCTTTGCAACGAGGCAGCCCTCCCTGCCCTCCCAGCGCTGGCGAGCCCACGTGAACGCCCCTGCCAGGCTGCCGCTCCACAGGCAGCGGCTTCCATTACTGCTCTTACGCATGCTCAGATCCCTCGGGCGTATCCCGTCTGCAGCCTGGGAGCCGGTGTGACCACCCCTGCCAGGCTGCCGGGCTATGGGCAGCGGCTTCAACTGCTGTTGTTGCGCATGCTCAGAGTTTCGGCCGTATGGCGGTGCACTCCAGCCACAGAGCTCAGCCTCGCTCGGGAGCGCCGGTTCGGTTTACGGCTGCGCGTCGTAGCGACTGGCATTCCAGGCGTAAAGCGCGGAAGGTGCCGCACACGCCCGGTGCTGTTGGGGGTGGGGGGAAATTTGAAGTGGAAGGCGCCAGAGACGCGCTTGGGGCTTGCTGCGGCATGGCCGGCGCCGGGGCCTGCCTGCGGGAGCTTAGCCTCATGGACAGGGGCGTGCGGAGGTGAGCCCGGCGGGGTCGCCGCGGGTCTCAGCAGTGGGCGCCATCCTGCGACCCCGGCAGCCTCCATTCATTCCCCAGAGGCGGCCTCCCCAGTGGCGCGTGCCCCGGGCTGTGTTTGCTGCTCTTCTGCACTTTTCTAACGTCACCGTTTCCGTTGTGAGGTGTGAGACTGTGTGGTGGTGCACCGTGCAATGACACAGTGGCCTGATCGTTGGTTGTAGCCGTGTTGGTCTGGTTTTGGGGGATAGAGGTGATCTCTTTTATTAGCCCAACTAAGTTGTTGGGAAGCAGTTCTTTGCAAGCTTTAGGGCACAAACACCCTACTTCAGGCACTGGGAGAGTCTTCCGACTAAGGGAGTTTGTGCCCAAAAACCTGCAAAGAACTTTTCCAGTGATTTAGTTGATCTATTAAAAGCAATCACATCTACCCAACAAACCTGGCCTGACAGTGGCATGAAGCCCCTCGCTGCTTCTGTTGGGTGGCAGTTGCAGGACCCTCTGCCTGGGGGCTTTTCAACATATATTAACAAGCAGGACATTGGCTGCAGTGGTTTCCTGCTTTGCCTGTGCCAGGTTAGGGTGTTAGTAGGGGTGCACTGTTGGCTATTGGGTCGGCACCATTAAAAAGAGAAATGATGTTATTGGCTATTGGGTGTTTTGGAACATGTCAGCTGATAATGTTTTCAATTAATGTTTACCGATAACTGCCTCCTGGTGCAAGAAGTGCTGTGATGCACAAACTGTGAGACAAGAATATATTTGCTGTGGTGTGCACCATGTGATTTCTGTCAGCTGTAAATGTCTCAGAGGAGCGCAATATGAAGTGTCTGAAAGGAACAACAGAACAACTGATTCCAGAGTATGTGCTGCAAATATTTTGCATGGAGGAAACACCACTAGAGATTTCAACACAACACACTTAATACAGCACCTCAAGGCTTGCCATGTTACAACAACTTCCTAAAAATGGCTACAGAAAAGAAAGAAGCGGGGAAAGAAAAAGCTGCGCCAAAGCAACTATCATTGCACTATTACAATATTGGTTATCGGATCAGCATTGGTTGATACAGTCAGTTGGTTAATCATCAGATAATGGTATCAGTCAAGAAAACCTTTGTTGGTGCACTCCTAGGTGTTAGGTCTTGTGCTTTGTCAGGGTTGAGGGTAATTTTATGCAGAGGTTAGATAATGGATTCATACGGGATGGCTTGGATAGGATTGATCCTGCCTCAGGCAGGGGGGCTGGACTGCATGATCTCTAGAGGTCCCTTCCAGGCTTGCTGCTCTATAATTATGTTTTCTGTTTTGGTCTTGATTTTATCCTTAATGATTTCCAGCATTCTCTTGATGTTTTTAGTTACTGCTGCAAAGTGAGCCTGTATTTTTAGAGAACTATCTACTAGTCCATATTGTATTGGTGCCAATACAAGGAAAACTGACATTATCAGCAGTCAGCTTTTTTGGCCAATGTGGCTGATATTGTCACCAATAAATGCCACGTGCATGTGCACAGTCACAGTATGCACATGTCCAGGAATGCAGCCTGGCAGCTTGGAGAGCAGCATCTGGCCAGTAAGTCTGTGGAATGGGCATGGGGGAAGGGGCAGATTGAGGCCCCTGTGGTGAGGGAGGGAGTGGGGCAGGGGCAGGCGCTGCACAGCTGGGGTTGGGTATGTCACGGGATGGAACCACGGCTCGTCTGGGGCAGGATTGGGGGGGCTCCCACCACTGTATGCACCCCTGAGGGAAGCATGGGAGGTACATGCCCCCAGATGTGTGCACAGGGTGGGAGAGGGGTGTCGCTGTGCACTCAGGGCCAGAGGCTGCACCATCCTCTTCCCAGTGGGGGTGCTGGGTGGGCAGTAGTGGCACTGGGAGGGGTGCTATGGGGTGGGCTACAGTGAATTTTGGGGTGGCTGTAGTCCTCCCATCCTGCCAGGTCAAAGCACAGCCCCAGCCCCCCGCCAGGAAGAGGCTGCCACAGCCTCTGACCCATAGCGCACAGAAGGCAACCTGCCTTTACCCAACACACAAATCTGGGGGGTACATGCCTCCCCTGGGGGTGCACACAGTGGCGGGAGCCCCCCCCCGCAACGGTCCCCAGATGAGCCATAGCTCCATCCTGTGCCCAACCCTACCCCTGCTATGCAGCCTCTGCCCCTGCCTCCACTCCCCCTAGATGAGCCGTGGCTCTGTCCAGTGCCCTGCCCCACCCTGCCCCAGCTGTGCAGTGCCTGGCCTTGTCCCAGCCCCACTCCCTCACTGCAGGGGCCTCAATCTGTACCCCCACAACAAACTTACCAGTTGGACACTGATCTCCAAGCTGTGAGGCTGCATATCTGCAATTGGATTGGTATTGGCCGATATGGCTGGTTAATAATTGGCCATCGATATCTGCCCAAAAAATCTTTATTGGTGCACCCCTACTATCTACAGTGGGTGGAAACAGATGTCACCTGATGTCTCGTTTGTGGTGCCATAAATATTTTTATGGCAGCACAAATGGTGAGCAAATAGACATCAATGCCCTTCGTGCCACATCAAACAAAAATCAGTGGCACAACAAAAGCTGATGATAGATTCTGCTGCTTTCTTGCAGCAGATGTCTTGTCTCTGTGGTGGAAGAGTAAAAGCAGCCTCTCCTGCTGTTCCAGGCAGGTGCTCTGGGGTTTTGAGAGTCTCTGAAACCCCCTGAGCACTTGCCTACATTCCCTGCTTGCAGAGAGGCACTCCAGGAAATCTCAAGTGTCTCTCCATATGTGGGGGAGTCAGGGTTCTCCACTTAGCCAGACCTGCTCCCCTGTGATTGCAAAAGAGTGGGTCTAGCTGGGCAGCGAAAGCAGGGAGATCACATTGCCCCTTGTCTTGCACCATCAAGGACAGGACAAGGGGTGATGTTTCACCCAGTAAAGTGAATCAGTTGTGTTGCAGCATGTTGCAGCCCAGCTGATCCACTTCATTTGGTGATGTCTGTTTCTAGCCAGTGACTCCAAGGCTTCTAGTAACATCCCTGAACATTACTCTTTAGAAGCCTTCACATTGACTGGAGCTGGCCAGTTTCAGAGCTGCTGGTGCCACGCCGCTGATAGCATTGCTGATGAGCATTATTTAAGTGCAGATAATTCAATCCCAAGGCTATAGAGTTGTTGGTTGAAGGACATGGGTAGCGTTTTAAACAGAAAAATTCTTTGTCTACCTAATCCCAAGGCTATGCACTTCAACAGAGTACAATAGAATCAAACTGCTTAAGATCAGTTTTGCAGTGGGTTGCTGACTCAAGAATAAGTTGCAAAGCTGTCTAAATGGGACATCTATGTCTAACCACTGCTTTTTCACTCAGCTGTAGGCCCTTTGCAGTCCTGCACAGTTGTTCGCTGCATTTGTCTATACACCTGGGTATTTTGCCAACCCTCATTTTTGCAGTTACTAAGGGATCTACGCCTGTCACTTTTCCAGGCTCTAATGTACTCTGTGGGGAAGGATCAGACGCACATAAATACAGTGGAATCTTTTTAAGTTTTTTCATTTTGAGAGCCATATATATAAAGCAGATTACTTTGATTTTCTGAGAGATAGTGTTCTGCTTGAGGGGGAAAAATAATACTGATGTCTCAAGATTTTGATTCGCATGTCTTAATATGCTAATTATTTTGAGGTTTACACCTATGTATTTTAACTTAATTGTCTTAAGACTTCTTAATTAAAATTGGATATTTTCATTTACAGTTTGTTGGAGCTATCTTTAAACTCAGAACTTCATACAATCAACCTACACTGTAACCAGATCTCCAAGATTGAAGGGCTTGGCTGCCTGTGGAATTTGCAGCATTTAGATTTGTCATCTAATCAAATAAGCAAGATTGAAGGACTAAGTGCTCTTACTAATCTGCGCACCCTAAATTTGTCCTGTAACTTGATAACAAAAGTGGAGGGTTAGTATTTGCTTAATCTTGGTTTTCTTTCCCTTTTCACATGTTTTATGAACTTTTCTAAAACTTGTATTAAAATTTCTTTTAGGAAAGATTGCAAGTATTTACTGAATTTGAGATCATAACAATATTTACCAGTAGACTTTTTGACATTAAAATAACTTGTAGCATACAATATGACAGTCTTCCTTATTTTACCTGTCAAAACTACTTATCCTGTTGCTTATGAAAGCAGTGGGGGTTGATTTGGGGCAGATTTCTTTTTTTTTTTTTTAAACTCTTGCACTAATTTTTTTCCTTCACTTTGTTTAGGACTGGACAAACTGCTTAATTTAACAAAACTGAATTTGTCATACAACCGTATACATGATCTGGGTGGTAAGTGGCTTTGGCAATAAAATATTATCACACTTAGATTTGGTAAGGTATTTTATACTGTTTTCAAAGGCTATCAACTGCAACAGCAGTGGTTCGCTCAGGAAATTAGTACCATTGATGGAGCCAGCTCATGCAAGTGCCCACATAGAAGACGTAAGGCAGGGGTGGCCAACCTGAACCTGAGAAGGAGCCCGAATTTATCAATGTATATTACCAAAGAGCCACAGTAATATGTAACCAGTCGTGTAATGTGACGTGACTTAATGGCTGTGGAAGCTGGTCACTGCTTCTGCAGAGAGTCAAGGAGATGCATATTGACTTCTGAAGAGCTGCATGTGGCTCTGAAGCTGCTGGTTGGCGGCCCCTGACTTAATGAGTTAGACTGAAGTGACCTTTATGGAGCTGTTGCTAGAAAGGTACAATGTACATAATGTTTAATTTCTTAACCTTTTTAACAGCCTTTTTAGAGTGCTATGTTGGGGTATAGCTACATTTACTTGAGGATCTATAATGTTTGAGGTTTTATAAAAAATGAAAACTGCTATTTAACTATCTAGGAAATATTTGTTTTTAAGTAATGTATCACTACTTCGTTAGAATGGAAATCACTGTTTTGTGTCTCTTTTTTTTTTTTACCTCTTCCTTCTACCCTTCCCACACTTTCCCCCCCCACTTTATTTTACAGGATTTCTGTACCTGCGTGGAACCAGTCATAAGATTAGTCACATTGATCTCCATAGCAACTGCATAAGTAACATTAACCATTTACTCCAGTGCATGGTAGGACTGAACTATTTGACTAGTCTTACTTTAGAAAAAAATGGAAAGAATAATCCAATCTGTGACATAACAGGTATGGATAACTTATTGTATAGTTACTTTATCATCTATTTGCTATCCAAAAGTCAGTGGTGTTTGTGCCTTGCAAATCTGTGATAGAGACTCTGCAACTTAGTAGAGTGCCCATCTTCGAGAAACTTAATTCTGATCCCTCTTCTCTCTGGTATATGCTATCTGAATTGTTAATCTTAGCTAATTGTTGCTATTTTTTATATGTTACATTGACAGTAATCATATTTAAATATGAACCTCAACAGAGACTTAATTGTTACAGAAATACCATATTGCCTCACATACAACATGTCCTTAGGAATTTTATCTGGATAGTGGAATATCAAGATTATAAAAAGGAGAAATGATTTCTTTTTTTAATACCTGTGGAGTACAGAACAATGAGCCATAAAGTCAATTGGCTCCCTCAGCTGCTGCACAGTGGAACTATAATCAACACAGGGTGCTTCCATCCTGGGCAGAAAATCAGCTCCCTCTATTTCTGGGGGCAGACTTTCATAGTTTGTCACATTGTACTCAGGGAGAAGAAAGACTTGTTTTCCTTTTTGCTTATAAAATATGCCTGCATCGTAATCACTAGCAATCTTAATTTTTTTGCTACCTTATTAAAAATAAATTCTTATATCAAGAGAAGCAGTTTTCAAGCTATGTTCCAGGAAGCAGTAATTGGTGATCTCCTGACAGGTGGCTGGTCTTTAGGTCTGCATCTTGTGTTTGGGTGTCTAATGCTATATTGCAGCTAGAGACAACGTTTCTTTCCTAATATTTATTTTTCTGCTGTAAATCATTCCTGTAGCAAGGCTTCTAGTTGCACATGTGCATGGTGAGGTTGTGAGAAACAAGCATGGAGTCTACACACTGGACCATGTTTAACAACTTTTGAGGAAAGAATTCCTTCTCATTGGATTGGTAACTGAATCCTCCTGACAAGCGTGGAGGTGACAGAACATAAATAGAATGTGACTTTGTCCTTTAAACTGTTGATGGTGCTAGTGTGATAGGTTAAAAAAATTAATAAATGATGCTGTCTTCAGTTGCGCATGCATCTCTTAAAGTACTAGTCATGATTTTCCAACAGCAAAATGTCACTATTCATTGATACCACTTAAGAACAGGATGAGCCTAAATTTAAAATGACGAATCATTTGTGTTAATTCATAATTTCATGTAGCCTGTAACATTCTAGGTGGAAAAGAAAAAATTAAAGATGTGAGTATTCAAACTGAACAATATTTTAATATAGAAGAAATTTAATCAAAGAACCAAAAGTTTTGGGGGGTTTTTTGGTACTGGAGAGGGGAGCATTTCTCATTGTATGAAGGGAGTGGATGATCTTGTTTGAGATGGGTAACAGGTTGTGTTTGGGTTTCTTTTTCATTCCCCGCCCTCACCCTTTGAGACAGATCATTCAAAAATAATGAACACTGACATTTTAAATTTAAATTAGCACTTGACAGTTTCATTGTAAAAGGAAGGGTAGGACTTCTGTATAAACACCATAGTAAAGGTGTAGGTGGTGTACAAGAAAGCAACTGCATGAAAAGGGAAGGGTTTTTGTAGGCAATGTCTCTTTTTTTTATTCCACCAACTGCATGGGTACGATAGACTTAGATAAGCTTTCAAATGCAATGCTTGTCCAAGTCTATCCCAGCGATGCAGCTAGTCTAATAAAAGATATCACCCCCAAGAGTCCTTGCCTCTTGCATGTTCCTGGACCATCAATATATATTTGTGGACCATCCCAACTATATTGCTCAACACTGTCACTTACATAAGTAACCTATGCATATGTACATAGCTTAGGTCTTGGAACTATCTGGGGAGCTGATATGGTCAGAGTATGCAAGAATGTGTAGAAGATGGTTCAAAGTCTATTTATAAGTGTAAGTTGGCTCCTATTAAATTCACATGTGACAGAGCGCTGAAATACTTAATGAAGAGATCTCGCATATGAAGCACCAGTGCTTAAACTCTTTTAATTAAGTTCTGGGTATGACTTTGTGATGTTGATCTTGACCTATGATGTGCAAGTGACTAAAATCTTATGGTTCGAGGATGGTTCGTTTTGTCCATCTTTTACAGCAGTAGTCACGATGAACAGGGATCCTAGTTTTCTCCGTTTTAAAAATCCAAAATTCTCTGATTAAAAATCCCACAATCCATGTTTTTCCACAATTAAAATGAAATGCCACTACATGTATAGGTATCAGTTGAACATAATGTTTTATTGATCTATTTACAATTTTAAAGCAATTTGGAAGCCTACCCCAGTGCCAGCAAGGAGTCTCGCCACCCCACTCTGCCTTCCCACACTGGATCCCACTTGCTGGGCCACAAAGGCAGCTCCTGCTTGTGCCAATCTGGCCACAAATCGCCTATCCCTCCTCCCCCATAAACTTACCTGCGGGCACTGCTTTGCACCATGCTGCCTGGCTGCCATGTGCATGTGTGCACATAGTGAGTGCCCCCTGCTTGTGATTGCCCTCCACCTGCTCCCCCCAGGCCCTTGCAGGCTGGAAGTCTCCCAGCCTGCAAAGGGAAACCTGTGGTTTCCTGCATTTTTCTCCCTTAAAGGAGACAATCTTTTTCTACTGCAAATGGAAAACATAGATCCCTGATGATGAATTATGAAGGAGTAAAGAGTCTTAGGGAAAATATTTACTTTTCAAGTAAATTAAGTATGGTGTTGGCTAGCTACATATGGTGAGTCCATTTGGTGATCAGAAAATACCTAGTATATGGAGTGAGTTGTTAATCCTTCTAATCCATACAAAATGCTCTTGATGCAGTGCTATACAGTGCCAGTATCAAGACCTTTTGCTGGGCATAAAGTTATCCAAAAAGCAATGTAATGAACCTTAATGAGTAGGAAAAGCTGAGAGCAGGCACACTAAAATTGCCAAATTTAAGAGCAGGCAAATGATTAGGAATATTTAAATTGATAAAAGCTGTACCTTTCCTATTGAAATCAATGGCTGCCACCACATCTCAGTCGATGTTTGGAATGGCTTGCTTTGGAAATCCTGCCAAAGTGTCTATATGTACCTAAATACCTTGAAAAATAACTTAAGACTGATTTGTACTTAATTCCAGTTCCAAAAATAACATGTCACTTCTGAAAAATGAGACCTAGGCACCTAAAATGAAAAAAAAATGTATTTCTTGTGTCAACTTCTTGCACTGGTGTGGTTCTCCCACTGTAATTGTGCAAATAGTGGTGCAGCAAGTATGTTAAGGGTTTGTCACGTGCAGCTACAAAATGCTACGCTAATGAAGACGTCCAATATGGACAATTCCTCATCTAACAGCCTCAACATTTGTGTACCTAGCAGTGTAGTGCCATGTAGAGATCCCCTGGGCTGGCTGTTAGCATGTTAACTCACATTCTAGAGCCTGGTAAAAAACATGCTGCATTTGTTAGCTCCAGAACTGGAAGCAGTATAGTTGCATTAATCTGTGGGTTTCACTGAGCTAATGCTGCTATACTGTTTCTAGCTCCACAGCTAACACATGTACAGCTAGCTTTTATATCTCCACATGGTGCTGCCATATGGATATTCACCTTAAGAGTTTGTTTTGTAACATTTTAATGTTACACATTGTCTTTTTAATGAATGGTAGGATGCCTACAGACAGATAAGAATCTTTTTTATTTATGTTGAAATACAGTCATTCACAACATTTTTCTTTGAAGGTTACAGAGAAATCATTCTACAGACTTTGCCCCAGCTAACAGTCCTAGATGGAAGGAATATATTTGGTGAACCAGTAAATGTGATTGAAGACCTTTCAGATTTGCAATGTTTAGAAGGCCTTTTAGATTGCTTGGCTTCATCCAGTTCCCCATTAAATGATAACCAGGTACGTTTAACCTGCCCCACCCCCCAATTTATGGTATAAATTTTTATTTTTCCCATGTTGGATACAATTGCTTAAAGTAATGTAACTCTTTTTTTTTAATAGAATTGCATTGACTTGCCAGTAATCACACCTCATATTGACCAAGTGTTGGCTCGGTTTCGGCAACGTGGAAACATGCCAATGCAAAGCACCTGCAGTTCTACAGAGCCAGTTTCTTCAGAACCAGAAAGAGCTAAACTTGATAGCATACCCAGTGAGATAAGGATAAGAAAATTAGAGGATCAAATTTCACAGCTTTTGCAAAAGGTAATTAGGTTTCCAAAAAAAATGGCTTTTATTACATATAAAATGAAGTGTACCCTTATAAAAACTAAATGAAAGAGCTTGTCCCTACTGACTACCTGGCACGTGGTGGGGAAATTAAATTTATATTAATGTTTATACACTGATTTGGGAAGAAACTGAGACTATCACTCTGTATAGAGGACAAGATAACATAGCCTACTTAAAAATTGTAGATGATACCTACATTAGGTGGTAGAAATTTCAATACCAAATTAAATGAAGGGTCCTTCTAAATTCGCACATCTCCAGTTATTAGCAAATTTTTCTGTAAAAGATGAGAGCTTGGTGCTGGCTTGCATCTACCATTAGACATAGTTCTAAGACAGACACATGCATCATTTGCTTACATAAAGGATGCACCCTTATTCCCATATTTAAATGCAGATTTCTAATTTTCCTATTTTTCACGTTTTATTTTTAATGTAAATTGAAAAATATAGTTTTCTTTAAAAATAAAACCTTTTAATGTTTAAATATGTTCTGTCAATGTTAGGTGATCACAGACTCCTTTTCATTAAGAAGTTTTTGTCCCTTAGACATGCTATCTTTGCTCTGCTGAAGATAATGTCATTGTTAATCTGATATGTATTTGTTTTAAATAGCAACTATATTGTTCTGGAAACATGGAACCTTGAATTTGGGTCATAGGTGAAGGGTTGGAAAAACAATTTTCTTCCTTTCTGAGAACCGAGAACTTTTTTTGCTGCCGCTGTGGATTTTTAATTACTTCTATGGTAAATGACTACTGCAGTTAATGAGAGAAATTTCGAAGAGTGATCAATAAGCAGTTATGTGCGATTGCATGTACTGTTTTACCAACATAACTGGACCTCCTCTTTGTGTTGCATTGTTTCATAGATTTCATAGACATTAGGGCTAGAAGGGACCTCGAGTCCAGCCCCCTGCTCCAGGGGCAGGAAGTCAGCTGGGCTCACAGGATCCCAGCAAGATAAACGTCCAAATTTCTCTTGAAGGCGTTCAAAGTAGGTGCTTGAACCACATCTGGTGGCAGGCTATTCCAGACCTTGGGGGCTCGGAGAGTAAAGAAATTCTTCCTTATGTCCAGCCTGAAACGGTCTTGCAGGAGTTTATAACCTTTCAACCTTGTCACCCCTTGGGGCGCTCTGGTGAACAAACATTCCCCCAGATACTAGTGGTCACCCCTGATAGACTTACAGATGGCCACCAGATCACCCCTGAGCCTGTGCTTTTCCAGGCTGAGGAGTCCTATGGCTCTCAGCCTGTCATCGTAAGGTCTGTTTTCCTGACCTCTGATCATGCGCGTGGCTCTTCTCTGGACTCTCTCAAACTTCTCCACATCCTTTTTGACTTGAATGCAGTACTTCAGCTGCGGCCTCACCAAGGCTGAGTACAGCGGGAGAATGACATCCTGGGATTTGCTTGAGAAGCATCTGTGGATGCAAGCCAGCGTTTTGCTCACTTTACTTGGGGGGAAAAGCCAGCTTTTTGGTCGCTTTACTAGCCGCAGCATCACATGGAAGACGCATGTTCATCTTGTGGTCAGTCGTGATCCCCAAGTCCCTTTCATCCATAGTGCTAGCCAGCGTAGCACTGCCAAACCTATAAGGATGCTTCAGGTTTTTCTTTCCGAGGTGGAGAACCTTGCATTTTTCGGTGTTAAATGCCATCAGGTTCTTGTCCACCCATTTCCTGAGCCTGTCAAGGTCAGCCTGGATCGCCCTCCTGTCCTCAGGTGTGGATGCTTTATCCCAAAGTTTGGTATCATCGGCGAACTTGGCCAGTCCACTTCTGACTCCAGCGTCCACATCATCAATGAAGATGTTGAACAACATAGGCCATAGGACAGAGCCTTGAGGGACCCCACTGGTTACAGAGCACCATGACGATTGACCTCCATCAACCACCACCCTCTGTGTCTGACCATGGAGCCAGTTCCCCAGCCAGTGGATCATGGTGGACCCGAGGCCGCAGTTGGCCAGTTTTGCCAAGAGGTGATCCTGGAATACCAGATAGAAGGTTTTTTTGAAGTCAAGATATACGACATCAATCTCATCTCCCCTGTCCAGGTGATAGGTCACCTGGTTGTAAAAGGAAATAAGATTGGTCAAGCAAGACCTACCCGCAACAAACCCGTGCTGGCTATCCCTCAGGATGTTGCCATCAGCCAGGCCGTTAAGAATGGCCTCTTTGATAATCTTTTCTAAGACCTTCCCTGGGATAGAGGTCAGGCTGATGGGCCTGTAGTTTGCTGGATCCACTTTCCTCCCCTTCTTGAAGATAGGCACCACATTGGCCTTTTTCCAGTCTTTGGGCACTTCACCAGAGCACCGGGAGTTCTCGAAGATCCGTGCCAGGGGCTGAGCTATGATGCTCGCCAGCTCCTTGAGTACCCTGGGGTGCAGATTGTCAGGGCCAGCTGATTTGAAGGTGTCCAGCCTCTCAAGGTGTTCTTTCACAAGGTCAGCATTGATGGAAGGCAAGGAATCTCCCTCACCTGGGCCTCCCTGTCCTGTAATTGACAGAGGCGTCCTGTGGGACTGATGAAAGACCGACTCAAAGTACCCATTTAGTAGGTTGGCTTTTTCTTGGGCGTCAGTTGTCCCATCGGGTTTAGCAGGGGTCCAATGTTGCCCTTGCTTTTCCTCCAGCTCCCCACATATCTCAAAAAGGACTTTATTATCCTTGATACTTGTAGCTAGTTGGAGTTCTGTCGCAGCCTTGGCTTTCCTGGTTTGCTCCCTGCAGGCACAGACCAGTGAGGAATATTCCTCCTTGGAGATGGATCCTGTCCTCCATCCTTTGTAGGTCTTCCTTTTTAACTGCAGGAGGTCCACTAGTTCCGTGGAGAGCCAAGGGGGCTGCTGTGCCCTTTTGCTGCCTTTCGTCTGAGACGGAATAGCATTAGCTTGTGCATTGAGGATCACTCCCTTGAGGAGCAACCACTCTTCCTGAACTCCCCTCCCCTTGGGGTCGTGGTCCCTTAGTGCCTCACCGACAAGCCTCCTGAGCTTGTCAAAGTCAGCTTTCCTGAAGTCAAGGACTTCTGTATTGCTGACTGAATTGCCAGCTTTCCAGTGGAGTGCCGAAGGTGATTAGCTCGTGGTCACTGTCGCCCAACTTCCCTTCGTTCATTAGGTCGCTGATTAGGTCGTCCCCGGTTGCCAGTATCAGGTCAAGCAATGCTCTACCTCTCGTTGGCCCGTAGACTTCTTGTGTCAGTTAGAGGTCATCCATGCATGAGAGGAAGCTTTGCAACCGCTTGGATTTAGCCGAGCGCTTTTGTTGAAAGCTTAAAGTAATTAAATAGTTTGGTTGGTGAGGAGGGAAAAAAATCACTAAGTTACATTCTTTGGCATCTCCATAAGATACATCTGTCTGTTAACGCCCTTTCATAGACTGTAATCTTTCAAAAATAAGAAAAGGTTTTTAAATTACTTAGTCCGTTTTTAATAGATTTCAGAACAATTTTTGTTGTTTTTGTCATTTAGGTGTCTCATTCTTCAAGCGGTGGAGCTCCTCTAGTTCTTAAAGCTAAGAGAGACACAGATCTGACTTCTGAAAGCGAGTGTGAAATTGGAAAGGAGAACAACAGAAAAGTGGCTAAAAGAAGCAAGATCCCTACTTATCGTAAAGTTAACTTGTCTTCTAAAAACCATGCAAACAATCTGAAAGGCAAAATAACTGCCAGGTATTTTCTGTTTTGCCATATGAGCTTTGAGTTAATATGAAAAATGAAGTACTTTCACAGGTAATTCAGTTTTAACTTGAAGTGCTTTTTGTAAATATGCTTTCTAGTACCTGCTTTATGGAAACACATTCCCAAATTTTAGAAATTGCTTTCATAGTTTTATTGCTCAATGCAGCAATATTTTCTGAACTACTGAAAGATTTTTTTTCATGAAGAAATTTTTTTAAAATGACCGGTCCCACCCTGTTGAAAGGACTAGCTATCTATATGCAAAGAACTTTCATACCTTAGTACTCAACATTAGTCTGTTTCTCTCACTTTGGGAAATGATGGGAAAAGATCTTCATAATATGATACCTAGCAGGAAAGCTAGGCAAGTACTTTAGATGTGGCGAGGAGTTGTACTTTATGTAAAAGAGCCATATGATTGCTCAGAGTTCCAGTGTGAAACTGGAGATAGGCTTGTTGAGAGTCTCTGGGTTAGGGTTAGAGGGGAGAGCAACAAAGGTGATGTTGTGGTGGGGGCCTGCTATAGACTACCAGACCAGGAGGAAATAGTGGATGAGTCTTTCTTCAAACAGCAAGCAGAAGTTTCCCTATCACAGACCTTGGTTCTCATGGGGACTTCAGTCACCCGGACATCTGCTGGGAGGACATTACAGCAGTGCACAGGCAATCCAGGAAGTTTTTTGGAGAGTATTGGGGACAACTTCCTGGTGCAAATGCTGGAGTGGCCAGCTAGGGGCCATGCTCTTTGTGAGCAGCAGATCAAGAACAGGGATGAATTGGTGGGGAATATAGTTGCGGATGGCAGCATGGGCAGCAGTGACCATGAGATGGTTGAGTTCAGGATCCTGAGAAAAGGAAGGATGGAGAGCAGCAGAGTGAGGCATGTGAAGGGTAACAAAAAGGGTTTCTACAAGTATGTTGACAGCAAGAGGAGGATCAGGGAAAGTGTGGGGCTCTTACTGAATGGGGGAGGCAACCTTGTGACACAGGATGCAGAAAAGGCTGAAGTGTTCAATGCCTTTTTTGCCTCCATCTTCACAGGCAAGGTCAGCTCCCAGACTACTGCACTGGGCAGCACAGTTTGGGGAAGAGGTGAGCAGTCATCAGTGGCAAAAAAACAGGTTAGGGACTACCTAGAAAAGCTGTACATGGAGAAGTTCATGGGGCCAGATGTACCCGAGGGTGCTGAGGGAGTTGGCTGATGTGATTTCAGAGCCATTGGCCATCATCTTTCAAAACTCTTGGTGATCAGGAGAGGTCCTGGATAATTGGAAAAGGGTAAACATATAGTGCCAATATTTAAGAAAGGGGAAAAAGGAGGATCCA